CATTTCTAACTAGTTAGAAATTCACCTTCCTCAGCTGACTTTGTAGAAGTTAATGCAATTAAATGTCTTTTTTTCCTCAGTTTTCTGCTAAAATTGCATCTTAATTCTGCCAATATTATGACTTCTTTCTCATAATTACTCCATCACACAATTCACAGAAGGGATGATTTAAACAGACGCCAAGAATATTTGTTCTCAATTTATTTTTATTTTTTTAAATAAGCAAGAAAACAATAGATTAAAATTGGATCTGATATCATTTTTAAGCCCTATCGCTCTCTGCAGCTCCTCCAGAGCCACCAGGGTGTAATGCCTTGCTCAAAGGCCTCTTCTGTCTCTGAGGCAGTGCAGGAATCCTGCGACGAGGGGCTTCAGAGGGGGGTTGCAAAATTGGGTCAAAGCTTTGCATTCGTCAGCTAAGCATGTAAATAATACAACGGGGCATCTGACCCCATTTCTCTTGTTTACATAAAGAGAAATTTCACATGAAAGTGTGTCACCTTTTTTTTAACTCCCCTGCATTTCAGCTGTTTAAAAAAAACATACACACACATGCACACACACACTTCCCCTTCCTCTGGTTTTCTCCTTACAAGGCTGAGTCCCTCCAGGAGGGAAAACAGCTGAAATATGACACTGACATACAGAGAAAGGCTGCAGCAGAGCGACATATCAATCTGGGAAAAAATAAAAGAAACAAGCAGGGAGGAGGGAGAGCTAATGAGAAAATCAATACCCAGACTGCATCTTTGCATCTAGAAAACCAACCTGAGTCTGTAAACTGGATGATAAAAAACAGATTCCTCGTTTAGGAAAACCACCTGGCTGCAGGGTGTGTGTGACTAATCATTGCTTTGCTCCTTTTTTTCCCCATTCAAATCCAAATTTTAGGTGTGGAAAAAAATTTTCTGGATGTTTTACATGACTGATGTTCAAAGTGAGGCGCTGGGGCCATTTGAGGGCCACTACAATTCAAGACCAAATCAAATAAACCTTGTCAAAATGAGAACTTTTAAATTAATATCTACTTACTACAGTGTTCCAGGTGTTGTTCCACAACAATATGCAATTTGACATTTTGTAAATGAATGAACACCAACTAAAAGAAAACAAAAAAAATATTTTTCACTAAAAAAAGTTTTGGTGCATTTTGCTAAAAATATTTTAGTATCACATGAGTCACGTGATCAACAACCAGGATGTTGTCACTGTCAGAAACCACAAAGAAGAAAAGGACAGGAAGTAGTTTGGAGGAAGATTTTAAAAAAATGATTTATCACATCAACAAGCTTTTTCACATGTGATTTTAATTGCTTTTCTTATTTAATGGAAAGCATTACATAAGATTGCTCAATTTTGTTTTTTCAACATTATTGACAAAGTTTTGCATGCATTTGTAATGGAAATGGAGCCAAATCTGCTTTAAATGTCTGAATTAAAACTATAGGATCCCGTTTGTAAAGTCACACAGTGAAAACGTAATACTAATATTTTGCCAGAGACAAAAAATGCAAATGTTCATTTTCCAAAGTCATATTTTTACAATGTTATGCAAACTTTCATAAATGTCAGAGTTCCAAACAAATTAGCTAATTCACAAGCTAAATGTTTAGTTTACAAACTGTACATTTAGTCAAGCTAAATAAGTACTAGGAAGCTAAATAAGCTAAATATTTAGTTTCTAAATAAAATATTTAAGTCTGAGATAAATATTTAGCTTTAGTTAGGAAGGTAACAAAGCTAACTAGCTAACTGTTTAGCTTGGTTATGGAGTTAAATATTTAACTTTGCAGGCAAAATGTTTAATTATTTAACTTTCAAAATAAATATCAGGTTAAACTAAATATCTAGTTTCAAGCATTTAATTGCCAACTGAAACATTAACAATAAGTATTGATAACTAAATATTTAGGTGCAAGTTAAATATTTAGCCAATACGTAAATTAGCGGAAGTGAAATATCAAAAGTTGAACGAATTTATTGTTGAGATTTTTTTTTTAAGTTGCAACATTTTTGGTGGTTTTATTTTTTTTTAATTGTTTTAAAAAGTTTTCCCACTGCTATTTTAGATCAGCTGATTATTTCTCCAAAACAAGCAGAAAGCGTGAATTAAAAAGTTGGGGTTTTAATTCATATTCCAAAACACTCATTAGTCACTGATTTAATAAATATTAAATCAGCAATAAATGTTATTTTTGCAAACAGCTTCTCCAGCACATCCTCTGCATCCCTCCATCAATCAGCGCCATGTGTGTTTTCATCAAGCCGGACTTCAACTTCTGACTTTTCCAACCCACAGCAGAAAAACCCTCTGAGCTGTCATCCCGTCAAAACAGCAGAACCAGAACCAGAACCGAGCTCCGCGGGGGAATCCCCCTACTCACCCTCGGATAACTCCAGCTCCAGCTCGGCCAGTTTGGCCCGAACCTCCGCAGGAAGCGGCACCGGGTCCCGGTCCGCCATTCCTCCGACACAAGCCGACTTTCAGCTCTGTTTTCCGGCTCTTTACTCCTTGTTTTGTCGCTCCAGGATTTTCTTTCCTCCGAATAACTCCCCGGGAAAAAAAGAAGCAGAAATCCAAAGTCGGTCCGAGTCCGCGTTGAGCGTGTGGCTCCGTGTGCGGCAGCGGAGACTCCGCAAAACAAGCGCCAAGCTAGCGCAAGGCTGAAGAGACTTCCGGTGAGCTGGCTTTCACAATAAGAGCGGCAGCAGTCAGACACCTGTAGCTCTTCTGATAAATCCCGAATAAAGTTTACGCAAGGACAGCAGTGTGATTGCAAAGTTTAATTCACGTCATTACATCACCAGCTTTATTTTTGTGTCTGGATAAAACATTACAAACATCATTAAAGCATTTTTTTAAAACTGTTAAATTAATCCTTTTGTCAACTATTGGCAAATGTAAAAATGTTTTGCAAGATATATTGCATTAAATAAAATAAGTAAAAATAATGAATAAAATAATTTATTCATTATAATAATAATAATTATTATTATTGTTATTATTATTATTTTATTGTTTTATTGTTATAAATATTATAATTTTTATAATAATAATTATTGTTATTATTATTATTATTATTATTATTATTATTATTATTATTATGAATAAATGAAATTTGCTTGACATATTGATGTTTTTATTGCTAACAAATACTTTATTTTTGCAATGGCCTTCCTTATCCGATGATATAAAAGACTAAATGATGAAACAACAATAAGAGTAACAATAATAGTAAAATAAATAAATCCGCTCCTTGTGCTTTTAATTTGAGATTGAAATCAGATTGCATTTCCTGTTTAGTTTTTTGTAAATTATTCCTAACTTTGTGTTATTTGCAAGTATAATTTCAAGGACTAGAGACTAAGAACAGAATTATTAGATGTGGTGTCTTTGTTTTCCCAGTTTAAGGGGACAATATGTTTAGTGTGTTTTTGTGTTTCCAATAAAAATGATGTGGATAAAAATACACCCGACAAATGGAGCGGAAAATGAGCCACCAGGGGGCGCCAGATGTCAACTTTTCTTTTTTCACGGTTTCAAACTGTTCACAGTTTTTATCAACGAAAATACAAATGTTCTAAATGTTATTATTCATAAGATAATGGCCACACTACCCATGACATTTAATGATCTTCAGACTGTATGTCTGTACATAAAGAACATGGATACATGGAACAAATTAACATGTCGACTGAATTCTGCCACATTTATTTATTTATCACATACTAGAAACCAGTATGTTAGGTATTCCCAAAATACCTAAAAATAATACAGGCTGATGTTTTATCCTAGTTGTTTTCCAGTTGTTGGATGTTTATGAATAAACAGAAAAACTAAAAACAGAAACAAACATTGTGGTTGTTGAAGAGAAAATAAACATGTTACTATTTCAAGTGGGAACCATGAAAGATGTAACTATTTGACCTGGTTCTGCAAAAATGCTAAGCTAAGATAAGCTAATTTATAACACTTGGTCATTTATTCAATTAATTATTATGAATTTTACCACTGCTTTAACAAAGAAAATTTATAAATGAACAGTAAATGTGACAAAACTGTTGAGTAAACACTGTTTTTGGTGCTGTAACCAAAATATATAATTTTTATTGTTGTTTATTTGCTGTTTTGTTGTTTATTCCTTAATTTAGTGTTGACTTGATTTAAAGATCATTTAAAAGCGGAATAAAGTAAATCTGTTCTGAGAGGCTGCTGCCATCTGGTGGCGACTCGGGGTATTTCACACCAAACCGATTAATTTTCTTAGATAAGTCAGAGCAATATAAAGACTTAATGCAGTAAAGTGGCGTTTTTCTAATTCAAGATCAGTGCATTTAATTTTTCCATTATTATTATTATTATTTTTACATTATTCTCATTAAATTGATAAATTGTCACTTGAACTAAAAATCCCCAAATTCTGAGGGAGTCGAGGACAGGGGAGACATTTACAATAATCTGAGTTCAGAGTGAATAGTGACATTTTTTATTCTACTTGACATGATTAAAAAGATAAAATCTTCTCTTTTTGTTACAAACTGATGTTACTCAGAATTTTCTATTTTTCTATCTTAACAACTTTGAAAACTGGATGCTTTCATTTAAATTAGGCAAACCTCACATCTTTCAAACAAAAAATAGGAAACTATATTGATTGACATTTAGCTCAAAGCATCTTTGTGTTAGAATAGCCTAGTCAAAGTCCAGACTTCAAAATTAACCCTCCATTTAATCTCAATTCTTTTTTTAAAGAACGGAAGCAAATTTCAGACATTTACTCCAAATCATTTCATCCAATGGGATTAAATACAAATGCAAGCCTCAATTTTCAGGTTTTTATTTATTAAAAAATTTCAAATTGTGATTTTTTTTCCCCTTGCACCTTACTACTTGTTATGCGACTTCTTATTTTCAGAGCAAATCAGATTTTTCAAACTGTTTTTAAAGGCAATATCGTCAAGAAAACAGATTCTGCAGAGAAGACGATGACGACATTGGCTCTTCAACAGTGCCTAAATCTTTATTTTTCAGTAAGCTACATTTTTTTTCTCCAAATTAGACAGTTTTACATCATGACACAAGAGTAACTTAAATTATCTAGAGCCGACATGTACGCTTGATTCCAGTCTCAATGGAACAAAAAAAACAAAACAAACACAAACACAAACCCCAGAAATTAAAAATAGAACTAAAAGAAAGAAGCCCTCTTTGCTGTGACCTTTGACCCGCTGGGTTAACAGTCCCGAGCCCCCGATTGTCCACAGCTGTTAGCTCAGGAAGAGTTAATGAGTTATACCACAGTGAGCCGATTAAGCAGTCCGTCATCGTCGTTCTCTTTGTCGCGTCTTTGATAAAGTCAGATATGCAACCAGAGAGCGAGAGAGAAACCAACCGAAGAATGGCACCGTGAGAACCGAGATGACAAGATCGATATGAAGCTTTTTTTTTTTCATCCAGGTCCAGAGTTCTTTTTTCCTCATCAGTCTGTATTCCTCTGGTTTTGTTCTCTGAAACATGCAACCAGACGCTCCTCGGCTCGTCAACATAATCATCGTGAGACGTTTTCAGCTCAGTCAGGAAATGAACAGCAGGCCTGTGTGATGGCACCGGTGAAGAAAAAAACCCAAAAACACACAACTAATCAGTGATTCCAGTTGAGCCTTGAAGCCTGAAAATTAAATCTTTTTGTACATTTATCAGGAGAACGAGAAAGAAGAGGAAAAACTCCAGAAAACACACAAAAAGTTGGATGTTTCTCTCTGTGTTGCGAAAGTTTTTATCCTTCAGCAAATCAGAACCCAAGAACTTCTGAATCGACTCTGTAGCGCCACCTGCTGTACAAACAGATGGTGTAAAAAACAACAAATTTTGATTGGGGAATCAAGCATCACTCTTTAAAAGCCAAGAGTTGGGTTTCTCTTTCACCAGATTCAAAGTTTCTGTTTTTCCGTAACGTTCCCGACACAGAGACCAGGAAAATTTCAGGATGTGAAAATATGGGGAAAAAAAGACTTCCATCAGATCCAGATGAATCAACTCTGCTAATGCTTTAATTTATTCATCAATCAGCAAAAACTGCATCTTACCGTTTTAAACAATTAAATGATTATTATCCATCTTTTCCAACACATTTTTTTCTTATTTCCAAGCTAATTGTCTATTTCAGATCATTTCTGCACCTAAAACTCATTCTATAAGGATGGCAAACCTATTAATACATAAAAAAGCAGTTTGTTGTCTTAGTGTTCAGATACCATAATGCTTTTTTCTTCTAAATTAAATCTAATTATATTGGATTAGACAGATTCAGCATTAGTGGCTCCAGTTGATGTGTAAAAATATAATAAATATGTAGTGCTTTTTTTTGTTGGAGATCTTTTTTTTTGTTAAAAGTGGCCAAAATTTGAATGTGAATGCAGTGAAAGAGAAGCCGGCCTGAGAGGAGGAGGAGGGCGAAGGTGACAACAAAGATGGAATGCCAGACGACAAAAACCAACGAAAAACAAAACATTTCAGCAGAAATCAAACTCTGCAAACTAATCATTTAAAAAAAAGAATTATTTTCCAAAAGCACAACAACACTTTTGTTTGTTTTGCGTTTTTTTTTTTTATATATATCCTACATCCAGCGACATTATAGTTAACAAGGATCAATATATTTTTATAATCATTTTAAGGTACCTCTTATAGTTTTCTGAGTATTTACAACTGTACAAGCAAAGCACATACTTCAAAGTGCACATTTTAATACAGTTTGGACTAGTTGCATTTTTACAAGGTTTAGAACGTTTCCCCCCCAAAAAGAAACCAAACAAACAGAAACAACCTGGAACTAAAGTAAGAACAAAAACTTTTGTCTTTCGTACAATTTTTTACAGAAATCAGTGAAAAGAAAAGTAAACGCTGCCAGATTTTCTGTCTAAAGACTAAATATTTTCCACAGCGTCGCTTCGTTAAGCTCGTTAACATCCGGGGGGGATTTTTTTTTTTCCCTCTTGAGGAGAAATAAAAACTCGATGCTCGTCTTGTAGAAAAGTTAAGGCAAAGTTATTTTTCAAGTTTAAATAAAATTCAAGTTTTTCAAACACTGGATGGATTTTTTTTTTCAAACGTTTTATGTGTACAGAGTCTTCAACATGGATTTTCATTCCCCAAATCTTCTCACTTAAAAAGAAAACAGCTCTGCTTTATAAATAACTGGATATGGAAACTTTTTCATCATTTCCCACCAATAAGGAAAAAAAGGAATCAATCCATCCGAGTGCATCTCAGTCCTTCAAAACAAAAACAGAAGAAAAAATAAAGTAGGTATCCAAATGAAAAGCAGCATAAAAACTAATGAAAAAGAAGCTTTTCCCTTTTCCAAACGGGCTCCGGTTTTCCTTTAGTGGGATTTTGTGTTGGAGGAAGACTTGATCGAGACGCGGTTCTCATTTCTGGACGGTAACGCAACGACAAAAATAGGAATTTTCTCATGAAAATTTGAATTTTTTAAAGATTTTGCCACAGTGGCTGCTACAGTGTCTGAAAATCACAAACATTCCCTCTCTGTGCTTAAACTTCAGCTCCTTTTTGCAGAAAACCGGAGAGAAGAAGCCAGAAAAAAACCCTCAAACCGTGTGTGCTTAAGTTGATATTTAAGTCTTCCCATTTTAAGCGAATCGAAACCAGGAGAAACCGACCCGAAACCGAACCGACCTGCTTCTGCCTCTTCAACATGCAAGCAAACACAAATCTCTTCCGCTTCCCGGAAAATATTCCAGGCCCATTCTAGCTTTTTGTACATTCTGGATTCACCATCCGCTAACCAGCGCTTCACGAGCAACAACCACCTCAAGGGGAAAAAACGAATAATCCTTAAGAAGTCGTCAAAACAACTGAATGCTGGGAATGCCGTCCGGAAAACTATGGAGACCAAATTCCCTCCTACTTCTCTTGTGTTAGTTAAATATCTGTAGACGTAAACTGAGAAAACTCGCAGTGACTGACTCCAGGAATCTAGCACCGTCTTCCGAATATTCTGATTAATTGCAAACACCTGAATGATAGCTAGTGTTACAGTTTTCCCAGGTGGTTTTCCGACATCTCGGATCGAAACCAATGGATTTTCGACAGATTTCTCCCAGTTTTTTCCAGCAGAAAAGTATAAATCAGGGACAGTTTGCTGCCGTTACAGGCCAGGCAAAAAGAAAAAAGAGGGTGATAGCTAGTGGTAGATAACTGTAACTGCCCATATAAAAATAATGAAAGTTAGTGTAAATAAGTCAGGAAATTTAATGATAATGAAATCCCAGAATGAAGTCCGTTTGGGCCGCGGCGCCGTGATGGCAGACTGCTGCAGAGAAGCGAGGGAAAAATCAATGAAAAATCAAATAAATAAACCAAAAAAAGAAGCAGAAAAAAAGAAGAGACGGTGCTCTACATGCACAGTAAAGTGCTTTATGTCTGCAAGCCCTGATCCAGAGAAGAAGGCGTCCTCTATGCTTGTTGCTGACTGGTGATACTGGGGGAGAAGTGGAGTAGCCCTGACTCGTTTTTTTAGACTTCTGTGGAGCTTAGTGGAGGAAGAGGAGGGCCCGCCTCACTGTGGCGATTTGGGCGGGGTGTGGTGGGCGTCTCTGCTGGAGGGTTTCCCTGGGTGGGGGGGCGGCGAGGCCCAGCGCCCCGCCGGCCTCCGACCCTCCTTCAGGGGCCGGGCCGTGGAGGCGGGCCCGACTTTGGAGGGCGGGTGGTAAGTCTCTCTGGGTTTGTGCTCCCCTGACGGCGCACAGGAGGCGTCGCTGCACTTCTTCTCCTCGCCTGCGGGGGCAGCGCAGCTTGGCTTGGCTTCCTTTGGGGGGGCTGAATGCAGCGGCGTGGGGGCGTCCTTCGCTCGCTGGCAGATCTCGGCGTAGGACGGCTTCCTCAGCTCCTGAAGGCCGGAAGAAAAGTTTCAACAAATCAGATTTAAGACTTTTTAAAACATTTTTAATGATACATGGAATTAAATTTAAGACCAAAAAAACAGAGAGTAACTGGTTACATTTACTGCAGTCATTTTCTTTTGGGAAAAAATGTTTGTTTTTTTCATTCTTGAGTGAAATTTCTGGATTTTCAACCCAGTGAATGAAAAACATGTTTTAACAAAAAATTCACCAGACAGACCTGCAGTTTATGTTAAAGTTTTATAAGTTTTTCATTGAAAGAAACTGATGTGGAAAATTCTTGTATTTCCTGATTTTATTTTTTATATAAACTAAAATCAGGTAAATATATCTGAAACTTAAAACGTGTTGCCCACACTGACCGTGGCGGCGCCGTTGACTTGAACCGATTTGCTGGCGGTGGACATCGTGACGGGAACGCGCTCCACCGATGGCGGCGCCTCTTTCGTCTTCGCCTCCGCCGCCTTCACCTCCCTGGAAAACAGAAACAGGAGGCTGAGAGGTTGTACAGTCTGGCCTTCAGAATCGTCTCCGTTGTGTTTGTTGCTGCGGTTCTTACAGCGAGGCCGAGGGGGCGGGGCTCAGCGGCGTGCCGGGGGTCGACGTGGAGGTCGGGGGGGCGTTCGGGGTCGAGGGGGAGGGCTGGAAGCTGGTAGGCAGAGGGGAGGCGGAGGACCGGAGAGGCTCTTTGGGAACGGCTGGGGGAACAGTGCCACCGCTGGGGTCCGGATTCACAGTCTGGAATAAGAAGAAGAACAAGGAGGAGAAGATCTGGTTAAAGGAACGGTTCCTGGAAAGCATCAGTCGATAGAAACCTTCTGACTCCACGGTTCACCATGTTTACGGTGTTTCAGGTCAAAAACTGGAGGAGGGGGTCAGGGTTACAACATTTCTTTCAAAAGAAAACCTCCAGATTCGATTTTCCCACATTTAACTTTCCAAAGCCAAACTAAAGTTTCCAGTTCAATCTTAATCTATTTCTAGATCGAGATTTAAATATCTAGAAACAGGAAGGAAAGAAGAGAGGATACAAGAAAAAATTTAAAAAAAATTTAAAAAGGATGGATGGGAGGAAAGAAGGAAGGTAATAAGAAAAAAGAAGCAAATAGGGAACGAATGAAGGAAGTAAAAGAGTAAACAAGGAAGGAAGGAAGAAGAGAAAACAATTAAGGAATGAAAAACCTTAAATCAGATTCCAAACTTTTCCAGTGTTTTAAGTAGTGAACCCTGAGGAACGCCTCCATCCTTTAAAGGCGGCGTTCTTGGCAGCATGCGGACCCACCGCTGATCCTCCGTTAATCAGGATAAAACCCGACAGAACCCTGCTAGCAGGTCCGGTTCTCACCCGCTCCTTCGTGGGTCCCAGCACCACGCTGCTCGCCAGCCGGCTGTCGAACGCCTCGTCCGCCTTCAGCTGCCCGGCGGCCGGGAGCGGCGGGAAGCTGGACAGGCCGAGCTCGAAGCTGGGAGACGGGGGCTTGGGAGGCGGCGGCGACTGGGGCGTGGCTCTCTGCACGGAGACGGACAGAAACTCAGAACCGGACACGTCCACATCAGAACCGTTCTGATGGACGACGGGAAGGAGGATCACTCACCGTAAACTTTTCATCCCTCTTTTTCCTGGAAGAAGAAAAAGTTTTCCTTTAACAAAGGGAACGTCTGAATTTACAAAACTTCATTCCAGCTGAGAACCTGACCGGGCGGGCGATTAATCAAATTTGACCAATTAATCAATTTTTATCAAACTTAATCAAGTATTACCATTTAGTAATTAATAATTTTTTTATACATTTTGCCAGTGAATAAAATCTTAGCGATAAGTTACATTTAATTGGTTAATCGAATTTTTAGTTTTTGAAGATTTAATCTTTGAAATTAAAAAGCCCACATCACAGCGGCCTGCAGAGCAACTTACCTTCCCCGGCCGACTCCGAGGGAATAATCTGGGATTAGCGGCTCGGTGACGCGGCCGGTGCCGGCGGCGTCGCGGCGGGGGAAGGCGGCGGTGGAGGGCAGCCTGGTTCTGGGCTGGCCGGAGGGGAGCCGGGCCGGCGGGCTGCTGCGGACCCCGTTCAGCCTCTCGCTGGCGAAGCCGGGGAAGAGGCTGGGGCTGTCCAGGAGGCCGGAGCTGCGGTCCGCCGTGGGGATGCTCGGCCTCAGGTGCGGTTTGCTGTGATTCCTGAGCAGAAGACATCAGGGGGAAGGTGATGATTTCAGTTCTGCTGCTGGAAACGTTTTTGTTTTGGGCGTCAGAGAGAAGGACCAACCTGTTCCTGGGGGAGAAGTGTCTGACGGTGAGCGGCGACGTTGCTGGTTTGAAGCTGTGTGACGTGGTGAATCCGTTGATGAACTGGTTGTTGTGAAAGGGGGTGACCTGGAAGATTCATTCAGTCATCAGCTTCACGAACAGGAAGTGTGTTAAAGCTGCAGCTAAAAACTACGTTTAGCTGGGACACGCCTGATCGATTGTTCTGATGATTAACTGATTATTCTGGTGACTAATCGGTTAAAAGATTGACAAATTCTGCAGTTTTTTTCATTGAACCACCTCAGAGCAGAAACAATTAGTCGCCATTAATTTATTGTTGAAATAACAGCCAACAAACTTAGTGATTGATCCATCATTAACTGGAGATTAAAGACTCAAAAAACGCCATTTGCTGAAACAACAACATAATCTGAACAGAAATTAAGACAATAATTTTCCATTTAAGATAAAAGATTCTTCCAGCTTGATTTAACGTGAATACAGTGCATGGTTAATCTAGGGAATATTTTTGGGATTAACTGATTAATTAGTTGAAAAGGGTGCTTGATAGGAGAAATTTTACCAAATTTGAGCCAAGTGAAGCTAAAACTGCCACTTCAGGAGTTCTGGGTAGAAAATCTTTACAGTCAAATGTTTTATTTTATTTTAAATGTTTTTTTGTTTTCAGCCGTTTAGGTTCAATTACTCCTTTGACAATTAGCTTTTTTGAGTCTGTATCCTCAAGTTAATGATTAATCGGTTACTAAAGTAGTTGAGAGTTATTTCAGTAATCAATAAATTATGATTAATTTTATTAATCCAGAACTGGATGGAGTCATTTCTGAACTTTTGAGCAAAAGAATTCACACTACTCAAAACAAATCAACCCACAAAAGCTGAATTATTCTGTCTGGAATGATGGTTTCCCCCCCAGACTGGCCCAATAAATCATCATCCTGGTACAGATTTTACTTCAGTTAGCCACTTTAAGCCCAGTGTGTGCTGCGAAGCGTACCAGCGCTGGGTCGATGAAGCTGTGCGTGGTGGACCAGGCCTGCGGCGTGATGAGGCTGTAGAGGGGGAACTGCTGCTGCGGACTGTAAACAGGCGGGATGTAGTAGGACGTGTAGCGCTGCTGCTGCTGCTGAGCGTAGGGATTCACCTCCACTGGCCGGTAACCGTTCTTTGGCATGAAAGTGTTGATAGCGATTGCCTTCGCCTTTATCCTCGCCTGGCGGGGAGAAAAGTCTTAGATTTAGATCACAAGAAACATCAGTCATCACAATGAAAGTTGATTTTGAGCTGAATTTGATCTTGAATTGATCTGAATGGTAATTTATATTTGTATTTATTGAATTTAAGGATGATTGGAATGAATCAGGTTTGATTTTTGTGGAGCTATAACTATAATAAAATTCAGCTTCAGAGAAGTTTCTATTTCATGTTTCTTTACTAAACAATGTAAGCAAAAAATTCATGGAGTGAGTTTTTCTGCCCAGTCATAATATTGATGAAAAAGTACAAATTTTTTGGCAGATTATTTCACTTATAACAAGACATTTTCCCGTATTATAAGTGAAATAATCTGACAATGGAACTAGCAATTTTACATATTAAATAATTGTTGTCTAACAACACGCTCATACCTGTATTTTTGCAATGTTCAGTGTTTCAGAAGATTAAAACAATTTAAATATCAATCAACTGATATAACTTGACTGATAAATTTGAGTTGTTCTGATGCCCTAAAACGCTGAATTGGGAAAAAAAAAACATGCAAAAAAATAGGAAATGAAGGAGACAAACTTTTCTACACCACTGTATGTGGACAAATTTAAATCGACATAATATTTCCTAAACCACTGAAGGCATGTGCAGAAAATTTTTAAAAAATCTGTGTTTAGATCAACTGAAAATAGAAGTACAAGCACTCCTATCTGCAGTGATTTCTCCTAACAGCATCTCTGGTTATTAAATATGGATGTTTACTCTGCTGCAAACATGCTGCATGAAAAGTTGATGAAGATCTAAAACATGTCAGCTTTTTTAAATCAAAGGATTTATTGAAGGCAGTCAGCTCACTGCCCAGTGGAGATGAGTTTATTTCTAAATGAACAGAACTAATTAATTATGCAACAGGACTGACATCTAGGCATCCTTTTAAATAAAAAGAAAACAACAGAAAGGCAGTAAGTGATTGTATTCTGCTTCCACAATTAAAAACAAAGTAATGAGTGAAAAACAGAGGCGACAACCATTTACAGCTCAGAGGCTGTAAATGGCCGGCTAGATACCTTAATTGGCTTCCCTTGGAAGGTCTTCACTTCTTCACGAAGATACTGATATGCCTTTGGAGAAAAAAATGATGGGATAAAAAAATAAATCAGTTCCAGATCTTTTAGAGAGAGAGACAGATAGACAGACGGTTGTATTCCCAGATTTTCTTAGGACTTTATCGACCCGACTCAGGTTGGGGAGGAAACGCTGGTTACCTGCTGTGCATCTGCTTCTGACTCAAAGGTGATGAACCAGTTGTCATTGTAGGCAAATTCACAGTTGATAAACTTGGGTAAGTTGTTCCCTTTGAAAAGGGCTTCCACTTCCTGGAGAAAAAACGAGGAGAACCAGAACAGAAAGACACAGTGATCCAGAGTAAAAACAACAAAGATCATGAAAATATTGTAAACAGACAAAAAGAGATCAGTGTGAATAATGAAAAAATCCCTTCAGGCTGTGTTTAATCTCGCCGACACTGACCTCTACAGGCGTGCTCTCTGGAACCTCTCGGAGGATCACGATGCAGCGGTTCTGATTGGGTCGCACCTTCTCCCCCTTCTCGTCCACCTGGACCAATGGCAACGCTGCAGGATGACGGAGACGTTTTCAAAATCAATCAGACATTCTTTGTTGCTTTGGACTAAATGGCCTGTAGCAACAAAGTCTCTGGTTTGAATCTCAAATCTTTCTGAGTAACTTGCATGTTCTGGTTCTCCACCTTCCTCAGGATGTTCCTAATTATTTTGAAACTGATAGTTTTTTGGTTGGTAAAAAATCTCCATCAATATTTTTCTGTGGGATTAACAAATATTTTTCAGTGGCACCAGACCGAAGTTCCAGCACCAAACATTTTGATAGTTAATTTATTTTTTTTTAAATTTAAAGTCAAAGTCTGAGAGAGGTTTTTTTTTTTTCACTTAATTTATTTTCTTCTCTTTAAAAATATCTGTCTGGCTTGTTTAATTAAAATATTGTATGCCTAATTTATTGAAAAGAAAACTGAATCATAGAAAAATTGTTTTCAATCTGATTGATTTTGCAGATCTTGGCTCAGACATGAATGAACATGGACAGGCAGACGGCATGATAAACTTTTTTAAAAACAATATATTTCTTCTTTAAAAAAATAAATCTTATTTAATTTGAACTCTTTAGCAGCAACCGCTCTCCAATTTAAATTAAAATGTAAATCCAAGCTGTTGGAAGGACATGATTGAGCAACAAAACAAAGCAAGTAGCTTCAAATTAGGCTGCGTTTAAATCCAGTGCACCTTAATAATCAGTCCAGCTAAATCAGTGTGAACCACTTCCTGAGCGGCTGCTGCAGCTGACTGACGTCACGCTGTTTGTTTTAAAGCTGGTGGTTAAACATGGAGGTGAGCGATGCGACAACAGCGCTTTACTCACATCGTAAAATGTCCACTATCAGCTCCACGTCAGTGCTGAGCTTCTTGACGTGGTCCAGGTTGGCCACCGTCACGATTGGCACGTACTGGTCGCTGTCCATCTGGGAGATGAGGTACATGTCACTGGCCAGGTTCTCCCTGACGGAGAGAGAGGAAACGGGTTAGGACACAAATCAGAAAGTCATGCAGGTATTCTCAGTTTCTGCATCAATCATTACCCACTATTAGATAACCAAGCAGCGCACATTTGGTTTCTGTCAAGAGTTTTGAATCTTAGAAATGCAGAATATGAGGTTAATAAAAGACTTTATTTTCTTAAAATGCGGAGAAACGTCTGAAATGACTGAAGACTGTTGCTTTATGACATGACTGTCATGACATACTAACAGCTCAATTTCCAGGCAGCTAAGAGGATATTTCAGAGAAAAATTTCCTTTTTCTATGACACCAGTAGTTGTTGGGTTGCTCTGCTAATCCACCTCATTTTCTTTTGCCTCTCCTCTTTGTCTGGCTGTACGATCAGAGTAGTTACCATGATTTGAAATGCTAATCAGTTACTCCCGGTTGTAAACATAGCCCCTTGTTGCTGTGGTTACGCACCACAACAACTGTCTCAAAGTGAGAAAGTAAAATCAAAAATCCTTCCAGCTGCACAGCATCCAGAACCAGGAGGAATAACTGTCCAAACATGCAACTGTCCATCCATAAACACAATAAAAATAAAGTATACAAATAAATAAAAGTGTACAGAGCAACGAGAAAAGAGGAAAACAATCCAAATGTGTGAGGTTTTGACTTGTGAGCAGCAGCACTGCAGAGGCGTTTAAAGGCTCTGAAACGGGCCTTTCTTTCAGACCAAGCCCGACGCCCACAGAGGAACAATGACAACCAGATGCCTAAACAGAGTCCAGCCTCACTTGGGGCCAGACTCAGGCCTAAATAAATAAATAACTCATAACGTTTGGAGAAAGCAGGACTTATCCTGGTATAGCTCATGGCGTAGCAGCTGAAAGCTCTCTCTGACCATCAACAAAGCTGAACATCCAGAAGGAATTTACATGTAATGTGATGCGAATGTAGACTAGTGACAGGTATGCAAATGTTTTACTTTAGAGGGAGAACTAATACCAACTGTCGAAACCAACTGAAGTGGTTATGGCGTCTGATCTTGAAAGTTTAATTGTTGAAAAATTGCAGCTTTTTGTACCAGTTTATAAATTAGAAGCACGTATGGGATAAATCAGATTTTTTGTTTTTCTTTGCTTGGCCTGTCTTGATCAGAATTGGATCAGAATTGGTTTGTTCAGACAATCGGATGTGTCGTACATTTGGGGGGTAAAAAGGCAGATTTGGTTCGCGTTCGGCTGCTGCGCAGACAAAACCTGTGTTTTTCAAGAAGTTTCTTCAACCTTTGATTCTGTAGCAAACCTTTATTTGTTCTGTTAGCTACAATTTAAAACATGCACAATAACTTTTCTGTTCTTCTTGGAGTAAAACTATTAAATAGAAGCTTTATCTGGTTATCTGAGATTTTCAGATTTAAATTTGTGTAAATACTAATTTATGCAAAGATTAAGATTTTTGCAATAAACAATCAAATTATAAATTAAAATGAGCTCAATTATTTCCATTCTAATTCATATTTTTGAAGGGAAATTTTGTTCACAGAGACTTCATATTGCATTATATTTATAGCTTTGGTTATGTTTTAATTTTGGATATTTAAAATATGTTGCAGTTCCATTGATTCCTTACAAAGTAAACGTTTACTGGTCTTTGAGAGGGGAAACTTGCATCATTATGCCATTATCGATATATTACTTGAACATTCTCACTTATTGCAATAATTATTGGGGCAATTTACCATCCAGGAAACTTGTTATCAAGACAGGCCAAGCAAAGAAAAAAAGATACAAGATAAAGTCTGTCAAGACAGAATATTTAGCTGTTATTCAGGCATAGGTATGGAATCAGTACAGATGGTACTTTAAGTTCTTTTAACGCTTGAGAACATTTTGATTTGATTCATCCTAAATCATCCATCAAATGTGCAGAAAAATCTGTAGTGACACTGATTTAAATCATCTTGCTGGAGCTTCAGTGTGGAGTTTTTGAATGGAGGTAGAAGTAAACGGTCTAACACATACAGTGGTGTAGATCCGTTTCTATTTTCTGGGTTTCTGTTTGTGTTGCTGCGTGCGTCTGGCAAGGCAGCACATTTTGTGAGCTGCCAGCAGATGTACTCCCTGGAGGCCACAAGCAGCTGATAACCTTTACATCTCCCAGACTACAGAGGCTCCCATAGGGTTAAGCACCACGGGAAAAACACTGCTGTGTCGGAATGCAGTCGTGCAACACGAATCCACAGAGTTTCACAAGAAGAAGGAAAGAAACCAGCGGGTTCCCGCTGTGGACCACAAAAGCTGCTGTTCTCGAGGTTCATGAATCATCCACAGCTACCGGAGTCAAAACTCCAACAGGAAAACAGGTGAACGACATTCAGCGTATTTAATTGGGAACATTAACTAAATTAATTACAATTTTAATTGCGTTATTAGCAGGGTGTTTGATCAATTAATCATAATTTAATCAAACTTCAACAAAGTAATCAAAATTTTCAATTCAAAAACAGTTTTTTGTTGCTAAATTATTGCATAAAGATATTTTTAGCTCAACAACCAAGATATTTATTGTTTTAATCTGATATTCAAACATCGCTATTCTATCTATTCAGCTTTCCAGTTTTTCAGGCACCTTTTTTTTAGAAACGTGGCCTGCAGACGCTGACGTTAGCAGCAACATGTTTAGCATTAAGATGCTGCTTTAGGCTTGAAGAGCTTCACTGACCAGATAATTCCTTTTATGAAAACAGTATTTATTGGAAAAACAATCAGATTGTTTTTCCAAGTAAAAATCAACCTCAAGTGGACCTGCTTTGCAAGTGGCGGGAAAGCATTGAAGTTCCCGCCCTATTCATTATGCATTAAACCTGATCAAAACATATCTTCACACAACTGAGCTGCTGATAGAGGCTGCCAATGCACTGGAAGACTCAGAGGAATAGAGGTTTGATGAACACACGTCATGCCTGCATCAATCTTGATGTTGACCAACACATCAAGATTGCATCTTCTTTTCTACCAGATGGGGGCCAGTGGTAAACTGGTGCTAAAGTTAGCTTAGCAATGCTTCTTTCTGATTCAACCACAAGCTCTGGTATCAATAAATTGATGCTATCTAAGCATCAACAGTTACGTTGGTCAAAGAGACAAAATGACTTTCACCAGGGGTTGAAGAGGCAAACTAAACTCTTACTAGCGCCAACGCTAGTTATGGTCTAACTGGATGCATTTAACCAATAAACAGTAGAAAAAATGTAACATTAGAGAAACAACATGAGCTCACCGTCTCTCATCTTCCTGTTGGGTTTTATTATCACCTGTCAGTTTTTAAGTGGGTCAACACAGCATACAGCTTCTCTTCAAGCAGAGCCAATAAACCCCATAATGCACAAACAAAAATCTCACATCGAATGGCTTAGCAACAGAAGTAAGCAAACTGACGATACATTTTCACATAATGGACAATATAAAGCTAATATCTTACAACATAGCTAGCCAGATAAATAGCTACAAAGGATATTTTAGCAGGTTTTGTTTACAGGTAAATAAAACCACCTTGAGTCACAGAACACAGTGAAGTCATACTTAAAGATTTGCATAGCATTAAAGGTCAACAAGAAAGAAAACTAAATAGTATCATATGAGATTGAATTCTCCTGCTACAACAATATTTAAGACCTGTGATTAACTTATTTAAGTCAACTTAAATTTTTTAAATGAATTTAAGACACTTCAAGACCTTAGTTAAGGATGCTCAGAAACCCAGTTTATAGAACCTGTCAAGAATTAAAAGTAGCTTATGGAGGAGAAGTTGGACTCACCTGGAGAGGCAGAACTCCAGGGTCTTCTTCAGGTTCTCTCTTAAGCCCTCCTGGCTGTTATCAGGCGGAGAATCACTGCCTGTTGAGAAGACAGGAAAGACAACTTAATAGCAAGAAATAATAAATACATTTTTAAAAACTTGGTGCAAAATGAATATACTGAACAAAAAGTGAGATAAATGGAGGAAAAATAGAACAATGAATATCTAATGCAAAAATAAGCAAAAGGAAATTGGCAAAATCTTTCCTACTGCTGCCTTTATAAGCCAATACAGCCGTAAAGCAAACATCAGTTTCTTCAGTTCAGTTAAGTCAGCTTAGAGTTTGAATCTGTTGTCAATCAGCGCCCAAAGTGACCTGCAGAACATTTTTGGCTCTGTTACTGTTGAGTTTATTTCAAACAGAGAGCACTTAGAGATAAAAGTCTGGTGGCAGATCCTTGCTGGAGCAGATCACCAAATTTTAATGCTGCTGTGAATTAAACCTTTTAAATTGGCCACTTGCCTCCTCAGAAAATGAAAACCACTGGAGGATGAGCTCTACTTGGATGAAGCCATCTCATTCCCAGAATTAAAACTCTACTGCAGGTACGGCTGAACAGGTGATTCACCTCTAATCACTTCATGATTTATCTGCCAGAGCAAAGCGGGCCGAGTCCACGTCAACAACCCGGGTCGTTTCCCTGCATAATTACCTCTTAAATCCTCACAATAATAAACACACATTCCCAGGGAGCTCACCTGCTGGTTTTAACTCCAAACTGGTTCCACGTAAAGTAACCTATGAAAACCCACAAACCGCCCAGTCACTAGCCAGCCCACCTGTGTGCCCAGGCTGCCCAGGGTCGGGGTACCCTGGGTAGGCGGGCTCGGGGCCCTCCAGTGTGACGGTGGCAACCGGGGCCGGCTCTGCCAGCATTACTGGTTCTGGTGGAGGCTCATCTGGGTCAGCTAGCTCAGGCTCCTTGTAAGCTTTGTCCTCACTGGCTTCAAAGCCTGGCAATCAACAAGGGCAGCAATTATTGACAACACAGGCAATAAGTTAACGATTCACCACCAGCCTGTTTGCAGCTGAGCTCCATCAGCTTCACTTTGGCACATAAGCTAATTGGTCTATCCTTTGCCTAAAGAAATAAATAAATAGATGAGAAATGACATAACATGAGAACAAATAATACATGAGTAACAAAAACAAATTAAGAGATGAAGAGGAGATTTTCCTTGCTTGGTTCTGATCAGGTGAAATACTGAAAAATATTTATCATTAACCATCAAATCAGTCTATAAATTATACACTGAATTCACTTTAATACAGTTCTTTAAACTCAATGTAGAGCTGGACAATAAATCGATAATGTACATGGCAATAGACGTGATCAATCAATGGATAACACATCTGATAGAATATTCAATGATTTCACTGAACTCCGATCCAGAACCGCACAGCATTCTGGGAGATGTGGGCAGAGGAATTACTTCAGTTGCTCTACCTGTAAACTCTTTGGTTGCCTAGTCCTGTTGAGTAACAAGCGCAGCAGCAAAAGGTTAACTGCTAAAAAATAATAAACAACAGAGTGGAATAGCAATAGAAAATGTCAGGCCACTAGTTTGGCAATGTTTTAAATATTTAAAAACAAAAAATTAATCACTCATCATTGATACTGACCAATATGAAACACTGATATTGTGATACATTTTCAGCCACATTGTCCAGCTCTAACTCATTCTCAAATAAAACAGTGAAGGACTAAAAGGCAGGTAATCTGGGATAAGAAATCTGGTTTGGAAACTGAAGCTAACAGGCAATCGTCTAGATGACATGCAGGACCAGCATTTAGAAAAGAAAAAAAAGATTTTTATTATTGCTGAAACAAACATATGTTCTGAGTAGTTTAATTTTCAACATTATTATTTTCCAGATGTTTCACAAACACACTCTAATACTGACAATACTCCCAACAAACTCAATGTTTAAATCCCTGCTTGTATTTGCAGTTTTTCCTCATTTCAAACAACATTCCACTTACAAGTGCTGTTTCACTTCTCGTAAATAATCTGTTGTTTTTATGCACAAATATACAAGATCAGGTGTTACAATTTTAAATTATACTAGTCAGTTCCACATTTTTTAGACTCAAAGTGCTACTTTTAATAACTGCACAATATTTTCTAATGCTGTCAATTTGCCCTTCCTGTATGGTAGGTTATTCTTGGTTCCATGTTTGTACTCGGCTGTCACTTTGCTGACAATAAACATATTTATTTTCTATTCTAATACATAAAAACATCAAAAGTCGTCTCAAACGTCATCCGCCACACAGCAGCAAAAGCAGCCCTTCACAAACAAAAATCAACCCTGGTATTAAAGTGCCACCCACATCATTTGATTGGCAGGTAATGGCTGAGGTAAATGCACTGTGCTTCCAAACAACATACTGGTTTTTACAGGTAATAAACCTGCAATTACCTACTTTGCAGCAGCAGTTCAGCCATTAAAGGTAAACCACTGCTCATGCTTTCACAGGCCATAAAAGTGCAGCATTAACGCTTAAAAACATGCAGAAACTTTATTCTGTGAACTGAAGAAAATTATTTAAATGTCTGGAATAGGATGATTTTTAACGAGCCAAAAACACGTCAATAAGTAAACATGCAGAAGCTAATCAAATTGGCAACAATGACTTCAGCTTGCTTTATTTTGGTGGCAAAGCTGTGATATCAGCGTTTGGTTCAGACTCAGTTCTTTAAATTTACTCTTCAGTTCCTTTATGAAACTAAATCTCCAGTATAAAGGTTCACGAACAGCTATTATTGTACTTTCTACGTTTTTTAAAGATGCATGAACAATAACAATACACTGTCAGTTGGATTAAATTTTTCATGAAATATCCTGGTTTGCATGAAATAAAGTGAGAGCAGCGCTAATCGATGCTTTCGGTTTCCGAACCATATCCTTGTTGCTTCTGCGCCGGACGTTAATCAGTTACGTTCAGGAAACAGTGGATAGAACATATTAATGCATCACATTAAATTGGGTATGAATGATTTATGATGTGTTTCACTCATAAAAAATGTGACGTGCGGCAAACAGGAGTAAAACTAACTTATTGTGAATGAGCTGATAGTGTAGCTTTAATACCCACATGCAAATGAGACGTCAAGAGTTTCGAGATTAAAAGAATTGCCCTCAAGTGTTCAGTGACACACCTTTAAAATGCCTCCAACTGAAACCTAAAAATAGCCCTGAGGAATCAGCCTGAAGGAAAAGTCTTGAATAAACATGAAGGAGGTTTTTTTTTTTTACTAATCAGAAATTTTAGCCTGTTTGGGCTCAGCTAAAGACTCTGCCATAAATGGTTTAGCTTGTTTCATTTCCTAACCAACCAATTTCACTTCAAAACATGTGAAGTTTTTCAGTGTCTGTTTTTCAGTGACAGACTGTTGCGTCCTTTGAGCACAAAGGAGTGTTAACGCAGGTCCTTCCTCCCAGTGTTTATAACCATCACTGCTAATAACAAACTCAAAACATCCCTGCTGGTATTTGAACAATTTACTCTCTTTTTGCTAATTTTTAAATCACATCTTTGCTGTTATTACGCATTTGTTTGTCTGCACTGCATTGATAACAGTCTGTTAACTTTTTAATGTTCAGAACACATCCACGTTAAGTACATAAAAAACTGAAAAGGAATCATATTTAGATCTGACATAACATATTTCGCTGGACGATAAAAGAATGTTGTGTGAACATCCAAAAGTTCACACAACATCTGGATGATTTGTGTGAACTGAATTTCCCCAGTGTGGAACAATAAAGGATATTTCAATTCTATTTGGCAGGAATTTGGGTATTTTCTATCCCTTTTCCCTTCATATATGTATATTTTGTTCATCCTTTTCCTTAAGTATCCATTTATGGTTTATTATAATTATGTCAGTTTTGATCTTCCATATCATGGTAGCTGAAAGAGTTGATCATAAGATTAGGAGTGGTCTGCACGCGTGCGTCCCAAACGGGCGACTGACCTTCTGGGCCGGGGTCGGCCGAACTATCGCAGCCTTCCTTCCATGGCTGCAGGGCAGCAGTGGTGTCAGCAGTCCCGCTGGTGTCCAGGCTAAACATGTGGTTGGCCCATGCTTTCGCATTGGGGTTGAGGTCTGAAACCTTGACTGATTCCTGGGAGGAAAACAACAACACAGTCCGGTCAGAGAAGCCAAGATTTCTGCTGAAGCAACATAGATCAGATGTTTGCCTTCACTAGTTCTCACTCTGTTTAATGTAAATGTGACCATTGAAGATTATTTCTGAAATTAACAATAAAACTGATGAAAGGCACTCAAACGTGCTTCCCGTTATCATTAACAGGATAGTAAAAGGTGCTTCATAGAAGTTTTTTGAGCTGAATGAAGCTAAAACTGCCACTTGAGGAGTTCTGGGTAGAAAATGTGAGTTTTTAACTGAAATGCAAAATGTACATATTTTTTGTACAGTTTTAGTTTAACTGATGCTGTTCTTTCAGCAAATAGCATGTTTTAGAGCATACTCCAGTTAATGATTAACCAATGGAGAGCTAAATTAGTTAATGATTATTTTAACAATAGATTCATCACAATTATTTCAGGCCTGCTTCATTCACAATACTTTCACGCATTTTCTCTACAAATGAAGGAAGAAACAAACATCATGACAGACATTTATATAGCACCCAAACACTTCACACTATTGCCAATAATGCTTATTTTAAATACATTCCAGCTTGATTCAGGGTTTTACTGTCAACAACCGATAGTGAATAAAACATAAATCAGAGAAAGGGAGGCATCGTGGAGTGATTTATCGTTCACCGGCACGGGCAATTTTTCCAAGACTGTTTAGCGACAAATAATCCAACAGAGAAAAGAAAGAAAAACTGATCAAGGAGGTGTGGCTCTTGATTCAGAGGAAATTTAACCAACCACTCTACCTGCAGAGACTGATCCCACATGCGTTACTAGACCAGAATGAAACAGACCACAGAACCAGAGGCAGCTGGGTTCAAGCAAAATTCAAAATAACTTGCTTAGTTTCAAGGGAAAAAAAAAGTGTGCAGTGGTTTTTTGGGTTTTCCGAAAATGAAGTTAAAGATGAAGGCTAAAGGGGACTTCCTGTTTGTCATATATACTTTGAAATGGTTTCAAAACAACCATTTTGTCTGTTGTCACAATAATTTCTTGAACTATTTATTGTTGAGCATAATTTGTCATCGTGACAAGCCTAATATTGGGTAATATCGATCATAATATCGGATATCATTTTTGACCCAAATTTTCATATTGATGCAGGCCCAGTAATGATACTGGTCAGAACTGGAGCAGAAATTATGTCGTCAGACTTTTGCTGTGTCAAATCGGTTTTTGTCACCTGAATTACAAGCAAACATTTTGCTCCAAGCTCCAGCTATTGATTCTATTTCATTTATTTCCTCCTCCTCCCAGCCTGAATTTCAACATAGATTTTTACTTTAGGATCTTAAATTCAAGAGATTTTTTCTATTCCTACTTTGTCATGGGAGGATACCCGAGTTTGACATTTCTTTTTCATCATCAATCAATCAATTTTATTTTTGTAGCATATTTCAGCAACAACTCAGTTCAAAGTGCTTTACATCATGAAAACAAAATCATCATAAATATATGATATAATCAACTGTGAAAATCTGTGGCAGACATTACATTTGTGAAGTGCCATCATTAAAATCCTTGATACATATCAAATATGTTATTCAATTTTCAGCTGTTATGGTTCAAACGCAACTTTAAAAAGGAGCGTTTTAATCTCAATTTAATGAGTGAACTTTGTTAACTGGTGGCCTAACTCAGTTTTAGCCGTTTTGCAGTTTTAAGAAAGTTTGTTCCATATTTCAGGTGAATAGGCGCACGTTTCTGCAACCTGAACTACCTTTTTCCCTCCTTTTTATTGGGGAAATTAATAGAAATATTATGCTGCCTTAGAAACCTAAATGCTGCAGTAAAGTTGTATTTAGGTTCTAAATGAGTGTAGAACTTTTATATTGTTAGAAACCATTCACTTTCTACGAGCAGATATAAAAGTATTTCTGAGGGTCTTGGTGGCCTGAACCCACGGGAAATACTCACAGGATTAAAGGAGTAGTTCAGCCTGCACGCCTCGCAGGCAAACAGACCGTAACCCAGAGCTGTGGTGAGAGCCAGCGCATCATTTAACTCCTCAGGCACTGGAGGCCAGAAGCTTCCTGTAGAAGGTGGTAAAAAGCTCCACTCCATCCAATCCATGATTATAACTCAGCAAAAACACACTCCCACATGCAGGCCGAATGAGACCTCCGATCATCCCCGTGTGATTTTGAGTTTTCGCCGGACTCGTCTGTCTCCGTCTCCTCCGAGCTGCTCCGTCGATTCAACAAATCTGATGACAGCAGAGAGGCTCCGCTGCCCTGGTGGGCAAGGCTGACGTTGCACAAGCTGAGTGGCTGCCTCCTCCTGTTCAGCATCCGTGTCTGCTTTTGTTTTTGTCATCGTTGCACTGAGTCATTCTCTAGGAGAACAGCGGAGACGTCCGTGGGGCTTTGAGGCGCGCACCTGAAGCCTTTGCATACACTAAAGCTCAACCCTCATGAGTCTAATAAGTGCATACACTAATTAGCTGCTGGGAGTTGAACAAAAATACAGGGAAACCTGTTCCCTCTAACTGGAGGAGTAACAAGTCAAAACAAAGATTCATAGAAAGACAGACAAGTCCAACTGGAAGCTGCACAGGCCAGGCAGACACACACACACACACACACCACACACACACACACACACACACACACACACACACACACACACACACACACACACACACACCAGGCTGTGCTAAAGCTTCAACTCCTGTCCGAGTCGGCTGCCATAGAAACCCCCGCTGACATCACCGGATGCATTTTTTTGGAGCTGGGGGTTTAAACTGAGCATTGCTTGACCTTTAGAGATTTTAAATCTTCCTATTCCTTTACGAGGGTGAAAAGGTTGGTTGGCATGATGACAGAGAGAGAGACGGTTCTGTTTCTTTGGAGTGATTCAGAGGCGAGTTACTGCCGGTGTCATCCCAGAGCAGCTGATGAAGCACCGGCAAGAGCAAAGCAGCGACTGCTGAATCTGGACTAATCTGCTGATGTGCAAACATCAGGAGCAATCAGAGACTCGATATGAACTGAGAAACACCAGGGTAGTTATTTTTATTGCATACAATACTACGACAAACATCTTATGGAAGCAGAGTGAAAACAGTCAACTACGGCTGAAAAGATCAATTGGATTAATCATTGTTTTTCAAATAAACATCAGCTAATTTAGTAATTAACTAGAAAATATAGACTCAAAAACAGCAATTTGTTGAAAGACCAACACAGTCAGAGCATTAATTAAGCCAAACTGTAAAGAAATCAGTTTGCAGAAAAAAACTTTGCAAATGTTTTTTACCCAGAACTTCTGAAGTGGTATAATAATTGAGCACCTATTAAATAATTAATTCAGTATATTTTACAAAATTAAAAAATATTAATGTATTTAATTTATAAATTTATTATTCATTTAGTTGTCTATTTGCATATTTCAATGCATTTCTAATGTATTTAAGTCAACCACGGCGGTGGCAACATCTTATTGTGCTTTATGTTTCTGCAGCTGCTGCAGATGCATTTGCACAAACGGGTGGAATAAAAACAGAGGATGTGTCTCAGTCCAAACACTTGATTTTTTTATTTTATTACATTTTTTCTTTTCTCCCGTTTATGTTAGCTTAGTGGTGATGTACAAATAAAAAAAGAAGTTATACTGTTTTATAAATCATACTTGGAAATATTCTGTCATTTTGAAAGAAACATGGCTTTTTTCTTCTAATTTTAAGTTTGAAATAAAGAAAAACCTTTTCCTCAGACAGACATTCAGGATTAAAAGTTCTTCGATGAAGACGATTTCTGCCATCCGTCAAACTGAAATTAACCTGATGACCATTTCTTAGACAATAACTGTGTTAATCCAACAACGTTCTCCATGTTATTGACTCGCGAAAAACCAAACAAACAAACTGGTGCTCTCTTTTCTAACAGACTCACTACAGTCTTTGCTTTTCTTCGTGTCTGAATTATAAATGCCTTGACTTGAACATTTGCAGCTATAAAATAGGTCAATAGCCAATGCGTTCTGAACACATATGTGTTCAACATATGGGCATCCAGGTTTATTTGGTTTCGAAGAACAGATTTTAACTGCTTAAAATGCAGACGATATGAAACTATTGCAGGAAATGCTAAAAGTTGAGAAAACTACTTTCAGATATATTGTGGTCAATGTTTCACATTAAAATTACCAGAATGACTTGGTTTAAGCTATTTTAATCAGATTCTGTGATGTAGAAATAGTTGCTGCATGTCCCTTTATTCCCAACATGGAAAGATTTTCCTCTCTGTTTGCAGTGGAGCTGGATCTCCCTCCACTGAATGTGCTAAAAACGCTGGAAGCCGTAATTTGGTTCACTGATTGCTTTTCCACCACCAGCAGCTTTAATGAGACCTACAGCCTGAAGCGTTACCCCACCAGACGCCATCAGGGCATCAGTTTGCCCCCTTTCCATATCCGCTGCTTCTTATCCGTTTTCCAGTCTTTATCATGATCTTTCCTTTTCCGAATTTTGCAGCTTACAGGGTAAAAGCACCTTCTACTACCTGAAGGCGTCACACTACATTTTAACCAATTTAAAGCTGTGGAATGTAACTTTTATATATATGTGTGTGTTTTTACATATTTATTCATATCAGGCAGATAATCAAGCTAATTATAAACAACCAATCAGAGCCCGGAGGCTGGTCTTAGCGCTGTCAATAACGTCATGTGTCGCTGCTCATTCCCCTTGTTGCAGCTAGAATGGCCTGACATTTGTTACAGAAGATAAACGATTTTCCTGTAGTTCTAAGTTGTTTTTCCACAATTAGCAGATTAAGCTGAGAACACAAGCATGACTGACAGTGCTAAGACCCGCCTCCATCTCTGATTGGCTGCTTTTGATTGGGAGCTGTTCATTTCTTCAGACGGCAATAGCAGCTTGAAGAGGATATGGAGGAGATTGATCTTTTGACAGATTATATCTAGGCCTGTCACAATAAAAAATTTTGCTGAACGATATTTTGTTATTGTGATGTAAGCGATAAAATTGTTGTTTTCAGACCATTTTCAAGTAATATAACGCAAGAACACTTTCTCAAAGATCATTAAACTTTAAATTCTAATGAAGATTTAAGACTGGAGCTGGAAGACTTTTAAATATCCGACATAGATCAACAAAATACAAATAAAACAAGTTATGAAGTCTCTAATAAAATTGCCCTTCAAAAGCAGGTCAAGTTGAGACCAAAGCACTAGACTAAAGACTTTTGTCATCCAGTTGTTTTGTAGAAAGAGAGAAAAATGATAAATCATACAAATGGAAATTATTGTATTTGTTTTCATTTATCATGCAATTACATGTATCATCATATACTGTCACAACATAGTGAGTTTTAACAAATATGCAAAAACAATTTTTATAAAGTTGCCTACTGCAGCTTTACCATCGAAAACACACTCTAAGGTAAAATCATAAATCAGACCAAATTGTTGGACTTTAAACTCTATTTGGTTGTATATTGTTGGTGCTTCCCGCCCAGTGAACACATTTAGCCCAAAAGGTCACTGCAGAACTCAACCATGTGTTTCCATCAATCAACCCTGCAGGTCCAAGCAGCTCCATGGAGGACTAATACGCCATGCAAGCTGTCTGAAAACCTTCAGGAGATTTTTAAGACGCCAGACGGAAGAGTTAAAAAGTAAAACACAGCCTGCATCGCTTTGGCATGAGCGTTTTTTCAGTTCTTAAAAACCTCTGGATGTTTAGGTTTCAGTTCCGCTCCCTGAATTTGGAGACAGGCTGCAGAGTCTGGATGTCTTATCTCTAGGAGCCACCGTTTCTCTTTGGAAAGATTTCCCATCCTGAAGTTACATCCTCTTTATTGTGAAGCTACATGAGCAGATCAGCAACCACAGCTATTGCAAAATGTGTACACAAACAGTAACTGCCGTGCTTATTATAAAACTAATGGGGTAATTTCAATCAGACTCATTTTTCCAACTCTGAAAATGAGACTTTAGAAAAAACTAGTGAAGTGAAGATGGTATCACAGATTCAATTATAGAACCTGAAGGCATCAGATTTTTTAAATGGAAACTAAAATGTGTAATTTTTGAATCAATGCTGCATTTGCAGTTCATTTTACAGCAAAAACGATGTTTTGGTACGAAAACAGACGTAAGTCAGTCCAAATTTATATTCATATAATAATTTAATTGTTGGTGAGACTCTGATTTTTTTTATCTTGCTAATTGCAGGGTCTGTGATTAATTGATAGCTTTTTAATCAAAGTACATTTTCTATTCACAAATTGTTCTACAAGTAAATTATTCACTAAATAGACATATAAGCTAAAGAACAAACAAAAAAGATATTTAATGTTTCCAATCTATTATTTAGATTAATAAACCATCAGATTGGTACATAGTTCAGTTTTCATTTCAGGAACTCCTGGTCATTCATGGACTTTCTTTAGACATGTAGACAGTAGATACTAGCATCAGCGTTAGCGTCTGAGCTGCTGCTACATGTTTAGCATTGAGATGTTATTTTAGGCCAGAATAGCAAAACGCGAACACAACGATAGTCTTTTCCAACATCCAATAAGATCGGTTTTTGAAGCAGAAAATAATCTCCAGTGAACTGAGTTAGCGGATGTCGCTTGTGCGTCACGTTTACGGGCATAACAGAAACACTTGAACGCATCGGTTCCGGCAGGAACGTCTTTATGTAAAAAACTGATGGAGTTAAAATTTTGGGCGCATTAAAATCTCTGCAATTAATTACTCAAAATTAACCCTAGTGGGGTCGAATGTAAGTTAACAATATTATTAGCAATTAAAGTAACTAGTAGTGAAATACTCACATTTTTATTATGATGATTTTCTGCTACAGGTAATAAACTTGACACTTAAGATTAGAATATTAAATCAGCTCAATTAGGAAAAAAATACAGAAATGTGTTCTTAATGAAAACTGAACTGCTTACAGGTTATTTTTAACCTTACAAACGAGCCTCATGAGAATAGATATTCTAACAAATAAAAATCCTCTGCATTTATTGAAGAGCCTCAGTGTTAATGTAACAAATTTTAATAAAGTACCAGATTTAATCAACATGCTACAGTTTCCCTATAATAACAAGAATTATTTTACTCAAAACTGGGGAGAAAGATAGAAGATGGATCAGAATTTAATCCCTGCTGTACAATGAAACCAATCATGTCCAAAAATAAAAAAAAGGCCGCAGCTCACATTACAGAGGCGGTTCATATGAATCACTTCAACACGTAAAGCGTGTTTCTAACCGAGGAAGCCATTTCCTCAACATCTGGGAACAAAGTGAGGGAAGTAACTGATGGCTGCAGCCATGTGTTGTTGGATCAGGGTGATGAACTATCTACGGGTCCTGATGCAACGCTTTCTTCGAAAGGTTTCTGAAATAATAACAGGCTGAAGTGTCTCCTCCATCACTGTGATGACAGACCTGGATTTTCATGAGGATCAGCACACTGGGCCCTTCAGACACACCCACCACCCAGCAGACAGCCGATTTCACATGATGCACTTTTCATCAAAACTTCTTATTATGACGCAAAAACCAGGAAAAAAAACATTTTCTGCTTTACAAAAACACACATCGTTTCATTAACACTTAGAAACCTGTTGCATTCAATTGTTATCTAGAATTAAGAAATTAAGTTTTCAGCATAATCCCACATTTCTACTGTTAAAATGAAAAATGTTGATAAATTATTTTTAAACTTGGCCGCAATTGTAATACAAAATCTATTACAAATGTTAATCTCTATGAATCAATAGAAACAAGCAATCAGAACCAGGAGGCAGGTCTCATCGCCATAAAGTCACCGCAGCTAGCATAGTATGCCGTGAATGCTGAGGCTAGTTAGCATAATTGTTTTTTCTGTAATAAGTTATTTCTCTGCATAAGGTTTATCTGTCTCATATCATATTGTCACCTTGTCATGACAGGATGGTGTGAGACAGATAATCTGTGGGGAAGAAAAAAAAATTAAGCTCCTCTGGCACACACAAAATGAAAATCACTATGAAATTGATCAAAAATGTATATAAATAGTTCTGCTTCTCCAGCGGTCACACAAACAATCCTGCACATTTCCAGTTTATTTGGGTTTTTATTTGTCCTGAACTCACGAAAGGAGAGAAATAAAAGCAGGTTGTGGTTCTTTAGTTACAGGAGATGTTTTCCTATCATTCACCAACAATTTCTTCTTCATGAAACGCAATCAATATGGGAAATCAGCCAGCAATACCTCATCACAATACCACTGTCAGGCCACATGTTGGCTTATTAGATAGAGAGCAACAATTTGAGCCATAAGAGGAGGCAAAAGTCACACCGCTTTGCTTAAATTGCTGCAAACCAAAAGAGAAACTCTGAAAAATGGCAAAAGAAAAACACAAAACTCACCAAATGAGAGTTCTCTTTTGCCTCTTGTACTTGCTGCACCTGTGGTTCAGCTACAACTTTTGTGTCCTGGTCAGAAGTCATGAGCCGTCTGCTTCTTGGCTCCTCAGGGAGAAGTCTCTGTGTCACCAAGTAAGCTTCAGAGGGAGCAGACGGAGACGAAAACACGTTAGCTTTGAACGCGGATGTTTAGCAAATATCAGCTGTGACGTGTGGGTGGACAGAGAGGGTCAAAGTTCAATGGCCGGCAGTTACTTTAAGAAGAGACAAAGATGTGGCCAAGAGGTGAATCTAACGTGATTAGCATGGTGAACCTTTTATTTTTAAACTGTATTTCTGTTTGTGGAGCTGCAAAAACAATTGAAATTTAAATCCACAAAACATAATAAAAATGTAAAAATATCTTTCTCATTCTGTTTACCATGTTTATTTGCCGTCTTGATGTTTTGTATTAAAAGGCAAACACTGATCATGTATTTGATTAGTAAACAGACCAGGTGTTTTTACAGAGTCTCTGCACTCAAGTCATCTTTTGCCTCTTGTGAGACAACTAGCAACACTTGACTAAACCTGTGTTGAATTAATTCAGTTACTTTAAATATTTATGTAATCATTTATATATTTATTTTAAAAGCTTTTAGGTAGAAAACAGTTTTCATTTTGATATTAAATGGTTTTTTTCTTCCTTTTTTAAGTAAAAAACAAATAATTTTGTTGTTCTTGATTGATTTGTAACAACAAAAGAGGCGAATACTTTTTCCAGGCCCTGTTACTATTTTTCTAGTTTTCTCATTCTCTGCTGACAGTCTCATTTTCAAAACTCGACTCCTGAAAGGTGGAAACACATTTTCTGCCGTTGTGCTGAAGCTGTGTGTGAAGCGCTGATAATCCGGCCCAACAATCGGTGCCTGCCTGTGACACGGGCTCTGATTGTGTTTGCAGACAAAGCAGGGAGAGAATGGCATGGCTGTAAAGCTGGTGACCTTTGAACCACACAATGACGATGATGCACAGCCAGTGTGTCATTCCACAGATATGAATGAAGTTAAAAAAATAAACTAAAAACCTTTTAGGATTGAAACCTTCCTGAAAAGTAGAATTAAAAGCATTTATATATATATATATATATATATATATATATATATATATATATATATATATATATATATATATATATATATATATTAGAAAAAATAATTATTGTGATTTTTTTTTTAATTTTTAAAAACACATCCATCACCATCTATAGTAACTCTTAAGAATTTGACTTAACATGAGTTATAACAAAATTTTATTTCCCTTTGGGATCAACAAAGTATTTCTGAATTTATCACCCCAAGTTTCTGCCTGAATTTATTATTTTATTACCAATTTATGTGTATTTATATAAGTTTTCCATTTGAGTCTTTAAAGTCATATATTTTTCAGTCTAATATTTTAAAATATTAAATTATGCATCAGTACTTGAGAAGCCTTTTTGTTAAACATGATTCCCCCTTAAATAATTTCTTTTTACTATTATTTGAGTAAAAACATGTCGAAGCAGTGATTTCCAAGACAAGCCAGCTTAAAAATAATAACATAACAGAAACCCTGACCCGGGTTAAAACAAATGAACAGTAGGGCAGTGAGTCAGACTCATTGTCTAGACAATCCTGGACCAAAACATCCTCCACCCTCCCGCCTTTTTCCACACCTTTGTTTTCCTTCTGTGTAATTTTATGGAGTAATTTATGACCCCGTGGTTCTCTGAAATAAATATGGCGCAAAAAGCCGCAGTGGTCCACCAAGTATGTTTCCAGTCTGACTTTTTTACAGGCAAACAAGGTTCTGTTTCAGAGTCCTGGAACGCAGATTTAACTGTTTTTTAAGAGCGAACAGAATGTCTGCTGAGATCAAGAATTACATCTGATACACAATAATTAATCAGAGATTCTCCAGCAGGATAACTGAGTTCGGATTTCACGAGAAAAACTAGAGAAAAAGATATTAAACAGCGAAAGTGTTTATTAAAGAAACAATTATCCAGTTTTATAGTTAGCTCAAGCTGAAAGATCTTTGGCTAAATTTGTCATTAAGACTCAGTAGAAAAAATAGTTAAAACATGTTCACTATAATAAAAAACAAAAACTCCGGGAAATAATCATATTAATTAGCAAAAGGTTGTTATGGAAAAAATGTAGATTCATTAGAATCGGATTACTTTTTAAGGATTTAATTTTAACATTCTGCAAATATGTTTATCAATTTTGTTTCTTTTATTTAAAATTCAGCAGAAAAAAAATTACTTTCACAATTTTGCCTATCAAAATTTGTAGTTAAAAAGTTGCCTTGAAAAATTTGCCTTAAACAGCTGCAGAAAACTGCCTTCAAACACTCAAATGCAACTACAAATATTTGCCTTTAAAATTTTATCTAAAATTAAAATAAGACAAAAATAATTAGAAATTAGCTTTTAAAAACTCATCTGCAAAGCATTGTAAAAGCTGAAAAAAAGTTGCCTTTAAAAATTCACCTATGAAAAGAAAAAAAAATTCCCCTGTAGAAATTTGCCTTAAATGCAAAAATGTAACTACAAAAAGTTGCCTTTAGAGATTCCCCTTAAAACATTAATAATAACAAATTATGAAGCTTTCAGTCGTTAAAACAGTCTGGAGTGTCAGCAATCATGACAAATTGATTCAAGTGTCTCTTAACAAAAAAATCAATAACTATATATATTGCTATAAAAATGTGATCAATATCAATAGATAATACATATGATATAATATCCAATATTTAGAATATTCACTGAACTCCGACACACAGCATTCTGGGGGATGTAGGCAGAGGTAAATCTCCCACAGCTAGCTAAGCTAGTTTGGTGGAATCAACTAACTGGCTCAGTCTTTGGTTGCTGAGCAACAACTTGCTGACTAACCTGTGCAGCATCAGTTTCAGGTTGTGTCGTAACTGCTGCAGAGTTTCAAACATTGATGTGAAGTGAAAACAGAGATGGTTCCACCACCAGTTTGCCAGTATTTCAGATGTTTGAAACATAAAACAAATCAATAATTATGGGTATGAAACGCTTAAATTGTGATATTTTGTGAATATTGGTGAATTTGTTACTGTTAATGTTTTGCAACAACTCTAGATTTTATCAACACAAATAAGAGCAACAGGAAGATAAATCTTAGTTTCACATCTTATTCTTCTGATATTTCCTTGACAGAAAAATATCAAATATTTTAGAAATTACTAAAACCAAACAACAGATATGTGAAAAGGTTTCAAATCCATATTCATACTCATTCCAGATTGATACCTTGATTCTGCTTGTAAACATTTTGAAAACTTATTTTACAGTCATGTTTGGCATTTTAATCAGCGCCAGTTTAATTTCTGGACAGGTTCTATTTTATTATCATTCCTCTGAAGTCCAAAAAGGTGGTTAAAATTGTTCTTCAATTGTTTAAATGGGTAAACATTCAGTCAAAAAGACAATGAAAAAATCCTGACAGGTAAAATGTTAAAAATTCAGCTGGAATGTGGAAAAGCAAACATATAATTTAAGTGGATCAATATAACCACTTTTTACCCAAAACACAAACATTGACAGAAAAGACGTGTCTCCAGGGAATTTCGGAAGTTCTCAGCGACCCTACCATAGGCCTGTCACAAGAACAAATTTGAATGATAAATTGATAAATTAGAAGTTATTGCGATAAATTATAATATTGTTGGCTTGATGTTATTTTCGAGAACACATTCTCAAATATCAATAAACTTTAGATTCTAACAAACATTTAATACTGGAGCTGGAAGACATTTTAAATATAAAAAATAAATAAACAAAACAACAAATAAAATTAATTATGAAGTATCTAACAAAATTATCCTTCAAAAAAAGGGCTAGTTTGAACCAAATCAACAGACTGAAGACTTTTGTTATCCAGGTTTTAGCAGAAAGACAGAAAAAAAAGATAAATCATGCAAATGTAGAATACTGGGTTTGTTTTAATTTATTGAGATTAATTTATTTATTAAGATACGCCTACAAACTATTCGTAAAACCTTAATTATTAAAATTCATTGACAGTTAAAATACAGATAGTGCTAATTCTTTACAAAGCCAAAAATTAACAATTACAAATTCAGAACTACCAGAAAAAAATAACTTCAGTATGTGGCATCAAAGTGTGAAATAATTTGAATATTGAATTTGTTTTAATTATCACACAAACATAAATAATATTATTATTTGTGTTTTTGTTGTTGATCCTTGTTGTTTTTTGTCAAATTTAAAAAAAAGATTGTTCCTCCTGCTGTAATTAAATGTAAATAGATACTATATTGATAGGTTAACTAATAAATGCGTGTTTGAACGTTATATATTTGTATTAGACATGTAATACTTGTTACATAGACAAGATAATACTTTCACCCATTCCCTTGGATTTGCAAAACAAAATATTTGACATAATGCAACACTCTGTATTTTTGTAAATATTCAAAAAATAATAAAAACACATAAAACTTTGAGACAAAATGTATACAGCATCCACCTTTAGGGTAGAAATCGTGAAAATGTAGCTATAAATAATGACGCCTCCCAACACAACAGCCATGTTTGTTTGGATCAACTTTCCAAGTTAACACAGCAACTTCCACCACAGACGCAATGCAGACTCTGAGCCGAGAAAGACTGCAGCTCCCGGGCTAGAGGCCACGGCTATGACCGGCCTGTGGTCGGAAGGTGGAGGGGGGTACTATAACGAACTAATCAGAGGTCGGTTCGGTCCGAATATGACCGTTTAAACGCCAACATAATCCAGCTGTTAAAAAGCACTGCTGTAAAGTTAACTGAGCTAAGAAAGTAGCAACCGCGGCTAACTATAACTGGAAAGATGGCGTGATTCCGCGAAATTCCCAACCCTTAAACTGTTACAGATGACATCAATATTTAGTTATAATAACAAAAAACGTGGATGTCAATCCATTCCCATCTCCACGGGATGGTAAAGGCCGTTTCTCACTCACCTGTCAACTCTCACTGCGCGGCGGTACAAACACTGACGGAGGCGGCTCTTGGTGTTGCTGGACTCGGGCCTTCACTTTGGCTTCCTTCCGGGCTTTTTACGCTGACTTATCAGCGAGCAGCCAATATGGAGCGCCTTCCCTACCGACAGCAGCTCTAAACCTCACCAAAAGTAGCATTCAGGTGTAGCTTGCTAGCTGTCGGGAGCCAAATGTTGCGCAAAACGACGCCCCCGAAGCTGGAACCAAAAAAAGGGCTGCGAGCTAACAGTTAGCTAGGTGGCTAACTATCAACTTTGTGCACTCGGGCTCAATAAATCTGGCGCCTCAAATCTCAAGCGGTGATGGATTTCTCCAGGCCAACAGCAGGCTCTGCGCAAAGAGGCAGTCGAAAAGCGACCGAAAGAATCCCTGAAGCCAAGGAGAGAGCGTCTCAAAGCTTCAAATCGATCAAACAAGCCGTTGGAGCTAAAAGATGAGGCAGAGGGGATTTTGGAATGGAGAAGTCGGCGTTTCCTTTCCCTTTCGTGTGCAGCACGAAGATCGTCTATTGGACCGCAGAGGAGTCACTCCAACGAGTTTGGAAACAAAATAGAACATTTCTGAAAATTAAAATGTTTGTCTCATTATTAGTCTATGGATATCGCTCATTTTGCATTAACAGAATGAATGCGTGGAAATTTCACAAGGAAAACAAAAATGGGAAAAATGCCGAAGAGAATTACGGCCACTAAAATAAAGATAATTCTGAATTTAATCACAAAATTCTGATTTTAATCCAAGAACTCTCACTTTCACCTATGGATTAAAAATGAAATCTCAAAATATTGTGTTTTCCCCTCATAATTAAGAAAGTTGCAATTCTGATCAAGAACTTGTGAGCCTTGAAATACTGAATGCATGAATGTGTGGACATTTGATATAGAAAAAGAAATGTGAAAAATACTTTGGAGGATCACAACCATAAGGTTACAATTCCAATTTAAATCTGAGAATTAAACTCAGAATTTGGAAAAATCAGAATTCTGAGATTACAATCAAAATTTTGACTTTAAGAAGTTAGACTTTTTTCTCAGAATTCTGGGGAAAAATAGAAATCTGTGTCGGGGAAATCTGTGTGTTTTCTCCCACACAGATTATAATATAACACTGACTTTAATTTTTATTATTAAAGAATGAAGTAATTAAGTGATGATAACTGTGCCAGTTAAAAGTTACAAAAGTTGTTGGAAATGTGGTACAACTATTTTTTTTTACCAAACTAAAAGCAACAAATAGAAAAAAAAATAAACTAAAAAAAGATTTTGAAGTTATAATGTGAATAGTCAGTGATTCCAAATGCTACATTAAATGTACCTTTGAAATTTTAACGTGTACCTGGAAATCACCACAATCAGGTGTTGTCCATTCTATTTCGAAGTGATTAAAGCAGAAGGTTTTATGGAGGGAAAATCAGGAAACAAGTTTTCTCCCAATTTCATCTCATCTGAAAAAAGACTTTACAAAAAGTATTCAAAAGTTGTGCTAAAGTTAAAGTATTTGGACTCAGATAAAAGTACAAATTTACCTTTCAAAAATTTCCTCAAGTAAGAGAAAATTTGACTACAAAAGTATTTTTAATAAACAAATAATATCATTAGAAATACAAAAAAACAGAAAAGTTATGAGCAAATTGTTGTATTTTTAAAGCAAAATACAGTATCATTAATTGCAAAAATTTAAAAGCTTAAAAAACTTTTCCAAATCATTATTTTTTGTTTAAAATGAATAAAACTAATAGTGTTCATACATTTTAGGCCATCAGGCTCAGCAGACAGAAAACAGTATCAGAACAAAGCTGGTGAAGAAACAGGAAGTCTCACTTCAACCTAAACTGTGAGGCTGGTCATATATTCTTGCATTAGTCTGTCCTGTGTCCATCTATCGGAGTATTTTGCGCATTTTGAAGAATCATAAAACGTTTGATGTAAATGGCAAATAAAAAAAAAAACTCCTCAGTTTTGCAAAAAAATGTTTTTACACATAACGGGCCGTCCTGATTGGTCCAGGTGGGCGGAGCTCTGGAACAGCGGCGCTCTCTGATTGGGTAAATTCTGATTGGCGCGGATCGGAGTGTTTTTACCTTCTCGTATTTTTAGTTTAGTTAAGTGTAACGCTTTAAGAAAAGGCAAGAGACAAATGATTGAATTTATATCTAAGAAGTTAAAATCAGACATTTTGAGTATTGCTAAATTTATTAGGTCCTAAATTAATATATGTATAATATAAAAAACATTTAATTCTAAGATTATAATAATAGGTCTCAATTATGTTGTTTAGTTTAAAAAAAAATAATCTTTTTGAAGTTATTATTACTTTTGCTTCAATAAACGCTTCATAATGCTTTGATAAACGTCTTGTTTTAAAAAAAATACATTAATTAATAAAGAATAAAGAAATCCATTATTCTGAGCATTATGAGTAAGTCTGTTATGTCCAACATTAGTAAGTGCATGGTCTAAAAATAATTATTCACAAAATTATATGGGTAGGGTTTGAGTATGTTGCTTAATTTTTTATTTTGTTAGATGGATAATGTCATTTTTGCTGCATTAAACTCCCTCAAATCAATTTATAAATAAATAATTATGTATTTATATATAAAGTTAATCTTTATAAGATAAAGATGAACTTGAATAAATACTATATATTATAAATTATGAAGTAAAACAATGTGAGCGAAAACATCAAACGAATTTTTAGGTTTTAAAACGTATTTTATTAAAATTCTTCCTGCTGTTCCTCCCTCCGGTCGCCAGAGGGCGATAACTAGACAGAAACCCTCTTCATTTATATCGTGTTTTCCGGTTCCCTTCCCTTCTTCGTGCCGTCAGTGGACCTAAACGTGTCCCGACAAAATGGCACTTTATAACTTTAAAAAGATTATGGTGGTTCCCACCGCTAAGGTAAGTTTTATTTCACTAATTTTGCAGTTTAAACCGATTTCCGCTCAAGTCGTTGTGAGAAATGATCAAAAGACAGGAAAGAAAACACCGAAGGAAAACACGTGTTTCACTGCAGCAGCCTGATGTGCTTTTAAAAAGCAAACTGGGGGCGAAATTTACTTTTACAGGAGGTTTATGATGGAGGTTTACTGAAAGACGGTTAATTTATACGTAAAATTGTGGAATTACGTGCGATATTAACAACTAATTAGATATTTATGGAGGAAATTAGAAAACGGGAGGCTACTGAACCTTTAAACTGGAAATCTGCGGCTTGTTGGATATTTTTGGTTAAAATGAGAGAAATCCAGAGAAAGACATTATTTCTGGTCAAAATAATAGAAAATTCAAGAGGTTACTGGACCTTTGGATTGGAAATCTTGAGTGTTTTTGTTGTTGTTGAAAATAGGTCAGGAAATGGCAGCGAAATGGATGTTTATGGTGGAAAACGGTGCTAAAGCAGGAGATTATTGGGTATTTAGGCTTAAAATACACAGTTAGCTGGAAATGTTTGGTGGAGATTATTGAAATCGACATAAATCTGGGCATTTATGGTGGAAATGGTTGAGAAAACATCAGGTTTCTGGAACTTCAAACTGAAAATCTGGACGTTTGTGGTTAAACTAAGGGAGGAAATGTTAGCTAAGTGGACACTTACGGTGGAAATAAAAAGGAAACAGCAGTTAACTGGACATTTTTGGTGTAAATTTGAGAAATCAATAGAAAATTGGGTATTTATGCTGGAAATTAGCGAGAAATTGGGCTTCCTGTACCTTTAAGCTGAAAATGTTCTGTAAACACTTATAAAAAATCAATTAGGAAATGGCATTTAACTGGATATTAGGAAAATCAATAGCGAGCCTTGTATTTATGGTGAAAATGGGAGAGAAAACGAGGTTGCTGGATATTTAAGCTGTAAATTTGCAGTTAATTTCATACTTAGGTGGGAAATCAAAAGGACGATTTTTTAATATTTTCTTTTGGTCTCTGAAAACTTTATTGACTGGGCAAAGTTTTCTTTATATTAGCATAGACATAGTAAAATAGTTCTTAGAGACTTTTAAATAAGAAGCAATGAGTATTTTTGATTGGCTTTCTTGCTGCTGAACATGAAAAAGAAAATCAAAGCAATTCATTTGTGAAGTTGAAATCTTAAAACAATGTCAGGAACAGTTTCCTAATTGCTGATCTGTTGCATGTCAGCTCAGATTTGGGGTTCTTGTTGTTGTCCAGATATTTTTCTGCTCTGATAACTCTGTTATGTTCAGAAATTCTCTGAAAAACCAAACCGGCGGCGTTTTGTTTGCCTTCTCTAACCTGCGAGTCACGCCTTCATCTCCATCCCCACAGGAATTCATTGACGTCACTTTATCCAAAACTCAAAGAAAGACGCCAACGGTGATACACAAACATTACCAGATCCACCGCATCCGGCACTTCTACATGCGGAAGGTGAAATTCACGCAGCAGAACTACCACGACCGACTCACGCAGATCCTCACCGACTTCCCCAAACTCGACGTAAGACCCCAGATTTGAGTCTTTTTGTTGTTCTGATTTGGCTTCTGCAGGCAGGTTGTGATCATCTCTTTATTTTTCCAGGACATCCATCCGTTTTATGCTGATCTGATGAACGTGCTGTATGATAAAGACCACTACAAGTTGGCCTTAGGACAGATAAACATCGCTAGGAACCTTATCAACAAGTAAGTCCTAGAAATTACTCAAGTAAGAGTAAAAAAGTATTTGGTAAAACATACTTTTTACGATCTAATAACTTGATTAGATCAATTACTAATCAAGTTATCGATCATCTAAAAAAATTACATCCGACTGACCAATATAAATAATTTTTTCAAAATCTGGTGATAAAATAATTAAAATAATAATATTAAAATAATATTATAGATAATATTAAAATAATCAAATTATTCAATGAAAATCTTCTAAACTTTAATAAAACTGCAGGTGTGCGTCTGTGTCTGGTGAATTTTGGGTTAAAACATGTTTATTTTTGTTTCAGTGGGTAAAATCCAAAAATTTCACTCAAGTAAGAGCAGAAATACTTCACAATAAAATTACTTTAGTAAAAGTAGAAAGTACAGTTTAGTAAAAATAATCCTAAAAGTAAATTTAAAAAAATCTTCACTGGAGTGAATGTAATTGAGTTACATCATTGCTCATTATTGATAGTGAAAATCTATTAAAGTCACAGATGTGGTGATCAGTGTGTTTTGAATTTGGTTTTTGGGATTAGAAACTTCTGCAGATTCTGCTTGAAATGGATAAACATGAAACTTTGGTATCTGATGTCACTGATATGGCTGACATTCATCAATATTAGACATGTTAATCTTTCCCATTTTTGATATTATTTTTAACCCATGTGACCAACAAGAGTAGAAGACATTTGGAGCATGTTTAAAATAATTCTATGTGGTTCAACACTATTAAATCCCATCAGTCTATAGTTAATCCAAAACACATTCATGCATAAATTACCAACCTGCAGGAGATTCCCAAGGGCTTTTATTTTGAAGGTGTGTCTTTTTAACTCTTCCAGTGTTGCCAAGGATTATGTGCGCCTGATGAAGTACGGAGACTCCATGTACCGGTGCAAACAGCTGAAGAGAGCC